AAACCAAATGTAATAAAACAGAATATAAACAGAAGAAAATGAAAGTTAAACTCGCATTTCAGAACTGATACTTAAAATTGTATAATAATACCTGCCCCATCTTTTTGTAATGCATACTGCATAGCTGAGATCTGACTGTCTTAAAATGCTTTTGACCTTGGAACCTCCAGCAGGCCTATGCTCATTCTTTTCCCCTTGGAGCTACTGGCCTTCAGCCTTGCTTGAAAAATTCAGCCACAGACACAGGCTTGCTTATTATCATTGTTGCTGTTATTATCTGCTGGAATGCACAGAGTTCTCACAGTGTTCCAGGCACTAAACATTTGCCAGGCACATCAGCCATTGACAGACATTGGTTGTTCATTGGGATCTGAACTCTAGTTTTCTTCATTCCTGCTTCGCAACTGCCACAGCCAGTTTATTACAGGAAAGCCTCTTCCCAGTGAAAAATCAAAAGTCAAGGTTCCTCTTGGGCCTCTTGGCCATGGATAACCTGATGAACACAAGGCTACACTGTCCCTGTCAACTCTCAACCCCGGCTCTCCTGCCCCTCCATCTCGCAGCCGGACTTGGAAAATTAGTATAGGGGCGGGATCCACCTCAGAAGTGGCAGAGCAATGATCCCCTCATCACTGTAGTATGCGGCGAGTGGGGGAGGAAAGATCTCTGCAGTTGATCACTCCCAATCCGAAACAAGGAGTGCCCAAAATAGGTCCAGAAGTTACAGCAGCCCAACATAGGGGGCTCCATGTTATGTCTCGAGTGGGGTATGAGTACAATCTCAAAAATACCTGACTCCCTGGTATCAGCATGAAGCATCTCCAAGTCCAGCAAGGCTGCATCCAAAAACTAAACTTTGAGCTGGAAGATCTCTATATTCTGGCTGAAGTGGCAAGTTGTACAGCTCACTCATGGAGTGGAGGAGACGCCCTCTTGATATACCATATACAAATTTTTGATGGGTGGGAGGAATTGTAAGGGGAGAAAAAGTGTGTGGGCACAAATTCAAAAATCATTTCTCTTAGGCAAACACTATTAATATGAGCAAGTCATCGTTTTATGTGCTTTACAGATACGAACTTCTTCTCTTAACACCCGATAGGATAATAATAGGTACTATTATCATTGACTCCATTTCACAGATGATAAAACTGAGCCAAGGAGAAGTGAAGAAACTTCCTCAAGGTCATGGAACTAGTAGACAGATGTGGAGCAAGGATTTGAAACCAGGCAATCTGGCTCCAGAATCCATGCTTTTACCACATTATGCTGCACAATGGAAATTTTGGAAAATATACGGAAACAAGAGGACCTGTATGTACTAGCACCACTGGCCACATCTTGCTGTATAGCTTTCCTCTCCTTTAGATTCATACATCATATAGTACATTACATAAACTTTTAAAAGGAATCATATTCCATAGTATCACATGACACTGGAAAAGAATATATAAAAGGAATCATATTCTTTATCTTGGTCTTAAAAACATTTCCCCTATCTGTACACACAGCCTTACAATCGTTATTTTGAATGGTGCATAATATCTTTTTGTGTGGCTGAAACATTTAAGCACTATCCGACTGAGGAGCACTTGAGACTGTTTCTAATGTTTCTCCATGACCGAGCGCTCTGCAAGAGGCAAAGGGGTGACAGGTTTTTTTAAAAAACTACTTTTTGAACCCAATTAGCTACAACTGCAGAATAAAATTAACAAATGAAAAACTGCCAGAGAGGGCAGCCCTGTGTGTAGGAGGAGACAGCGGAAGTTGGCCGCCACCAAGGTTCTTCCTGCTTCTCTTTGTCTGGCGGCCCCGTGGGATTGGCTAGAGCGGGCGCCGAGGGACTGCAGAGGCCCCTGCGGCTCCTACTGCGCACGCGTGAAGCACGCAGCGGGGCGGCGGGGTTTGGGGTGCAGAGCGTGGGATCTGGTGCAAATAAGTGTGCGTGAAAGAAGTCACAAAAAGCGCAGAGGCGGGGTTTCCCGCCTCAATCCAGCCTTTGTCTCCGCCCCTCGGCCTTCGCCTCGGCCCCAAGCGTCTTATTGGTCAGACATCTTCGGCCCCATTGGTCCGAGAGCCGAACGATGGGGTCTGCCCCAAGCTGTGCCTGCTTCCGGGGTTACAATAAGAACGGTCTATTGCGATGCGGCTTTCAGGCATTTGTTCAGGGCATGTCCATGTGGTCTAAAGGGGCTTGTAAAGCAACTGGAGCAGTTCAGAGTTCAACAGCAGGTTTCCAAGATGCCGCCCAAAGGAAAAAGTGGTTCTGGAAAAGCGGGGAAAGGTAGAGCGGCCAGAGCGATCAAGGAGAATGGGGCGGGTGAGGAGCGAAGGGAGGGAACAGACAGTCCATCTCTGGAGTCCGGGACGGATGCAGCAGGTAGCAGTGGTCCCACAGTGCTGCCATCGATTACGTCTGTAGGAATACATTGGGCCACGGTTCAGGGACCGTCCTGGTGGGTAATGGAATCTGGTGGGCATAGTTCCTCGGAGACGATGACTTAAGACTGCTATTTCGAGGGGTTATTAGAGCTGTAAAAGTCTTATCAAAAGCCAGCAATAAGAAGTACACATTGATTATGATCCTTAAAATTCACTGTAATGCTTATAGAATGCCATGTCCATCATCGGGGAAGGAATCATTCATCCATTGAACAGAAATCTGTCAGGCAAAGCGCTAAGTACTAAAGATATAAAAATAAAACAGAGGGCTGGGCTCGGTGGCTCAGCCTGTAATCCCAGCACTTTGGGAGGCCGAGGCGGGTGGATCACCTGAGGTAAGGAGTTCAAGACTGGCCAACATGGCAAAACCCCTTCTCTACTAAAAATACAAAAATTAGCCAGGCGTGGTGGTGCGCGCCTGTAATCCCAGCTACTCGAGAGGCTGAGGCAGGAAATCGCTTGAACCCGAGAGGCAGAGGTTTTAATGAGCCGAGATCGTGCCACTGCACTCCATCTTGGGCGACAGAGCGAGCCTGTGCCCAAAAAAAAAAGAAAAAAGGGATTTTGGCCTTAAGGAGCTCCCGAAGTAGAGAGGAAGATAAAGGCTTAGTGATCATAAAGCACTGTACTAAATGTAGTGTTGAAGGATCTGTATGGGATATAATAGAAACTGAGGGAAGTGCTTCATTTAGCTGGGGAACAGGGAAGGGAAAAATTCCTGGAGATGAATTAGGCAGAGGTTAAGATGGGCATTGGCGGTAGGTTAAAGCATTCCCAACTTGGAGTCCAGCAGCAAAAGCACTGAGGTGAGAAACAGCATGATGTGTGCAGTATAGTGTTTCTGGAGCAAAAACTCAAGGCAGAATGGCAAATGGTGAGAATGAAGACAGAAACAAAGACCAGGTCATGGAGAGTGCTATATATGGTGCTAAGAAGGTCGGTTAAGGATCAGACAGACCTGTAAGGAGATTGTTGTGGTAGTCTTGGTGAGAGATGGTGGTGGACTGAGATAAGGGAGTAGCTGTGGGAGCTGAGAAAAGAGTCTATAAATATTAGGATGTGAAACAGTCAAAACTTGGTGATTTATTGGGTTAGGAAAGGTGATGAGGGAGGATCAACGATCATCCTGTTTTCTAAATTGGATTTCTAACTTGTTGCTGGTGCTGTGGGCTAACATCAAGGATACATGAGGAGCAGGGATGAGATTAATCAATTCACTTTCAGATAGATTGACTTTGAGGTGTCTGTGGGACATCTGAGTGGAGATGTAGTCAGGAAGTGGTTGGATATTTGAGTCTGAAGTTTGAGGGAGAGATCTAGACTGTACATTTAGGTTTTAGGAGTCATTAACTTATAGATGGTAGTTGAGCCCGTGAGAGTGTATGCAGTTATCCATGGAGAGTTTATAGAATGAAAAGAGCAGAGAGTAGAGGATGTGATGCTAGGACAGGTAGAGAAAGAGGCAGACAAATAGAGCGAGTGCAGAATGATGGCTCAGAGGCTGGAGAGACCAGAATGTTTTAAAGAAAGAGGATATAGTCTATCAAACACAGCAAATTTGGAAATTAGAGGTGGCCTTAGGTAAAAGTGGTTCCAGTGAAGCAGAAGCCAGATTGCAGTGACTAGAGAACTGACTAGGAAGTGGTAAGTTGGACTTCTTGGAAAGTTTTAATTGAAAAGCATGGAAATAGGATGGTAGATAGAGGAGGACCAAGGATTAAGAGAATGTTTTATTTTCTTTGCTTTTTTGGAATGGGACAAATTTGGGAGTGAGGCAGAAGGATCCAGAAAGTAAAATAGGTAAAGGTACAGAGGAGTGAGATTTAGGAGAAAATGGAATCCAGGACCTCGGGGGAGTAGGGACACCTTATGCTTGAGGTCATAGGAAAGGAGATGGAGGGGCAGGGATTCAGTAGGCATCTTGAGGAGAGTGGTGAAGGTCTGGACTATTGTAATGGGAGAGGGAATGAAACAAGTAAAAGGAGTTCCCTCAGGGCTAGGAGCTTGACTAAGATCAAAGGCCATGAATTTGTAGACTACCTAATCTTCACAGTCTGATTTACCTAGTACCATACAACTGGCACAATATATTATTGAAAAGAGCTAGGTGCAGCCTTAAGCCATGGGTGAAGTTTTGTTGGGCAGTTATGATAGGATAGCAACTCAAGGGAATTATGAGGGCCAGTAGGAACGCGGTTCAGATGAACGAGCGTAGGGTCCAGACTGGGAAAAAGAGAAGTCTGATGGTCTAGGAGAATGTAGCAGGATGAAGGGACTGGGGTCGAGGGGGAGGCTCTGTGAAATAAAGAGCCAGTATTGTGGGAATGAGACATGAGAAAGCTGGAAAGACAGGAGGTTATAGCCAGAGACTGAACTAGTTCTGAGTGGCATAGTTCCATCGTGTGCCCCCAGGGCAGGTAACTTGGAGTAAAGAGCATGGCATTCGGGAAGGAGACCCAGAACTGTGAGATTCCTCAGGATGGATGGTGAGGTCACTTTAGGTAATGGCAGGAGTGAGGGTGGAGAGGAAGCCCAAAGCTGATGCCAGAGTCCTCAGGAAATCAAAGGCAGTGAGGTGGCAGTCAGAAGATGACAACATCCAGCAGGGGAGAGGATGGGATAACTGGAAGGCATCATCATTCAGTAGCAAACCCAGTTAGGAGTTTGATTTAATAACACTCCTTTGACGGTAGCGTTTTCTTAGGTTTTGGGCAGTCAGTATTTGGGGTTTTCAGTTTATTTAAACAATTATTAAAACACTTTTTGTGTGCCAGGCATTGTGCTAGGCTTGGAGATATTGAGACAAGCAAGATGGAGACTCTTGCTTAAAACTTTTCAGTGGCTCCCTATTACTTCTAGGACAAATCCCAAGCTCCTTAATGGGGCCAAAAGTCCCCAGTGCCCTGACCCTCAGCTACCTCCCTTAGGCAGGCTCATCTGAGTGCACTCCCACCTCAGATTTGGCTTCATCCATACAATTTCTTACACATACCATGTCGTTTCCCCCATTCTGGAGTGTCTCCTTGTCCATTCTTTGGCTGACCAGCTCCTACTCATCCAGGAAACCTTCCTTGGCTGGCTCCAGTGTCCCTCTGTGCTTCCACAGCCCCCTGTCCATAACCATCTCTGCATCTCCTGCATTCTCCTGAAATGATCTGTTTTACTCACTAGAATATGAGTTTTCTGAAGGAACGTACATGGTTTGTTCATCTTTGTACTCCCAGTGCCTGGAATTCAGTAGTTGTTTAGGAAATGTTTATTGAACTAAACCCTTAATTCAGCTCTAGTTCTTAGGAACATCGGCCTCTAGCAGTAAGTAGGCTGCCATTGACACAGAAGTCACCATAGTAGTAAAATGATATACTAGTAAAATGTAAGATGTTGCTAATGGTTCTAGGTAGACATCAGTAGGCAATGTAGTAGACTCTAGAAATTTGGACATGAATGTATTCCTTAGCCAAAAATGGGTAGTGAGAAATTTGATCTTTTTAAAAAATATATTCTTGGAGATTTTACCTACTGGGGTTGTGATGCTTGAATACATAGTTGCAGTACATGATAGAATTCTTAAAAGAACTTAGGGGTCTGCCCTCAGAAGACAGGGTGTTAAATTGGATGCAGAGAATCTGGGCCAGGCTTCCGGAGCTTTCATTCACCTATTAGCACACTAATTTGTGTATCAACTTTCTGTGAAGGGTTTATATAGGGCACAGATTTTCTGTTTGAAGAAAGGTGAGTCAGATTCATTTAGCTTGATACCGTAAAGCAAGCTTGTCCAACTCGTGGCCCACAGGCAGCATACAGCCCAGGATGGCTTTGAATGCAACCCAACATAAATTCAGAAACTTTCTTAAAACATTATGAGAGAGAGAGAGAGAGAGAGTGTGTGTGTGTGTGTGTGTGTGTGTGTGTGTGTGTTTTAGTTCATCAGCTATCATTAGTGTTAGTGTATTTTGTGTGGCCCAAGACAATTCTTCCAGTGTGGCCCAGGAAAGCCAAAGATTGGATACCCTTTTTGTAAAGTGTCTGGCCGAGTTCCCTTTTGAAGTGTGGCATTATGATGGAAGTATCAACTCCCGTTGTGTGTTGGACCTTTCCGTAAACATGGAGGTGCAGTTTAAATGAGTACCTGTCATCTCTTCTCTAAAGGGGGAGCAGCCTCTGGGAGTGACAGTGCTGACAAGAAGGCTCAAGGTCCCAAAGGTGGTGGCAATGCAGTAAAGGTGAGTTACAAGTTCCTTTTTCTCCATGTGAAAAATAAATTCCATTTGTGTTGATACGCGTAAAAGGCAGAATGCTTAACTCATTCTAACAGGCTAACCTAACACTGGTATAAAATCAAAATAACACAAAATTGCAGCCAGGTGCAGTAGTTTACACCTGTAATCCCAGCACCTTGGGAGGCCAAGGCAGGCAGATCACCTGAAGTCAGGAGTTCAAGACCAGCCTGGCCAAAATGGTGAAACCTTGTCTCTACCAAAAATACAGAAATTCGCCTGGTATGATGGTGCACACCTGTAATCCCAGCTACTCAGGAGGCTGAGGCATGAGAATTGAGAATCGCTTGAACCGGGAGGCTGAGTTTGTGGTGAGCCAAGATCGTGCCACTGCACTCCAGCCTGAGCAACAGAGTGAGACTCCATCTCCAAAAAAATTGGAAAATACAGACCAATCTTGCTTATGAAAAGTAATTTCCTTTAAACATTTTCTCAAATACTTTCTCAGATACCCAGAATTTCCTCATACTTTTAGTATTGTTCCTTAAAATGCATTAAGTTAGATTTTTCCCAGTAAGTGACTGAGTTATTTCTCAGGAAAAATAATATTTTATGAAACCAAGAGATTAGATAAGCGTTAAAAGGCCTCTGCTGAATAAACAGGCAAGGGTGCAGATCTCTTTAGAAAGCTCACCATCCCCCCCAGCTGAGCTACAAACGAGGGTCTTGACCATGAAAATGTGGGCAGGAGAAAATGAGTAAATAACTACTTGAAATACTTAACCTAGTCCCAGAGGAGTATCTGCTGGGAGAAAATTTAATTTGCAAACAGAACTATACTAGTAAGTACTATGAAACAAGGTAATTTCCATGTTTTAGTCAGGATATGGGAGCCTGTACTTTGATTCATTCATTTGATAAGGATTTAGTGACATCTGCCCTGTGCCAAGCAGTGTATTAGGCTCTGGGGATTTTTTTTTTTTAATTTAATAAAAAAGTAAGAGATGGGCCAGACCCAATGGTTCACTGCTGTAATCCCAGCACTTTGGGAGGCCAAGGCAGGAGGATCACTTGAGCCCAGGAGTTTGAGACCAGCCTGGGCAACATAGCGAGACCCTA